TTTAAAGCGATCCAGGGAGGGGGAAGGGGTTATGTAGTGAGCTCATTTTAGATGTATGTTATTTTCAGTTTCGCCAAAAATCCTAGTTTATCCATTGAATGACACTAGAAGTGAAAAACAGACTGCGAACCTGAGGTGCGACTTCTATGGATATCCATTGCCATCGGTAACCTGGAAGAGAGATGGAAAAGATCTGCCAGCTCGTGATGGAATAAGTATCTCATACAACTTAAGGCTAAGGCTTTCAGAAAGACAAGTTTCCTCTGTCTTGAMYATCACCAACCTTGTCAGGAGTGACCAAGGGTTATATACTTGCATAGTAAACAATASAGTTGGAACAGTGGTTTCTCCTTCTCGGACTGGCTACTTAACTGTTAACTGTAAGTTGATCMCATGTAGCTTTTWAGACTTGAGTTTTTTYYATTGTAGMGATAAAGGCGTTACGTAAGCCGTGGAACGACATGCTGGATACAACACCGATTGTGATGATGAAAAGTGGCATGGCAGTTTACAGGAAGAAAAGTCGCGCTCCTACAACCCCTAACTTCAATCTTGATATAAATTATTATGTACCCTTTGAACAATGAGTTATTAGGGAGTAATTTTGTAAATAAACTGCGAGGTATCATATCGAATTCACAATCAACACAACAAATGGTGATATCAATATATGTGTTGTAAGCAACAAATCAGATAAAATGTTGCATCTCATCAAATGCCAGCACAAATAACTGTAAATTGTGTGCAGGTTGTTAAATGAATCCACCTCCCGACTTTTGTTTTTATTTAGAATGAAAGTGCGTGTTTTATTAGGATTTATAAAATTTTTGATATATAACGCGCGCTCTGATTGGCGGACGACCGTGTTTATATCAGAGGACAGAGGCACGGCTTACCGGCAAAATTTTCTTTTCGCTCGAAAAATTTTATAAAAGAAATATAAAACGGCCGCTTGTGTCTCTGTCCTCTGATATAAACACGGTGGGAGTTGAAAAACACTCGAGAAGCAAGAGAAACACTCGCTACGCTCGTGTTCCTAAGCTTGTTTGTCTCGTGTTTTTCGAGCTCCCACCGTGTTTATATCAGAGGACAGAGACACGCGCGCCGTTTTATATTTCTTAAGTATAGATTCGAGCCGCACAGAAGAGAATCTATATATACCCGATAAAACACGCATATCAATTTTATAAACGACTTCTAGAACTCCAGCATCCAGAAATTGTTACATTTTAGAAAAAAARCTGAAAAATGCTAGAACAATGATATAATGCATATGAACTCGGTTTCTAATGAGCATGTGCATTGTGTCACAATAGTGACAGAATTTTGATCCCACATGGAAGAACGTCTAGTCTTTGGTAAAGTCTATATGTCTACACATTGATTCAGACTGATTTTTTTTTTAAAAAAAAAGGTCTATGATGCGACATTAAAACTGATCCCTTTGCTGGTGTTGGGCTGCGATAAAGGGATGATGAACTTGAGCACAGTTCTTTATATATGATAAAGAACTGATTAATCATAAAACATCAATTTTATATATCTGATATAGAACTGATTAACAAAACATCAGTGTTTCATCGGGATTTAAAGGCCAATCATGTGATCCAATAGTTTGATGTTCATTGGACAAATAGCTCATGAATTATTTAGTTCTATAAGTTCTTGTTTCTTATGAGTAGATCTTGTAATGGACAATCCATACCAACCTTAAATGTCCTACGACAATCCCCATAGCGAATGAAAATGTATCCCATCTTATWAYGTTTCTTCCAGTTCCACCTTCCATACAAGTYCATCCAMGCCACACCACCACAAACRAATCRAGCACTGTTACAMTGAAGTGTGAAGTKGAAGGCAAGCCACAACCAACTGTAAAATGGTTTAAGAATGGTYKYCCTGTTGACACAAATGATTCAAGAATAACGTCTACCATTGCTAGTTCRAAAGAACGTGTAAACGCATCGCTCATGATTSTAAATRTYATCCGGTTGGACAAGGGAGKGTACACATGTCACGCATCTAATGGTATTGGAAAAAATGTAACGTCTTCTAGTGCGAATTTGACTGTACACTGTAAGTATAGTTTACGTTTCACAATTATGTAATATATRGCTTAATCATCTAATAGCRTTTGTTTTGTCTTCAGATCCTCCAAAGATATCTGCATCACCGCAGAATGTTACAGAGATTGAACATGAAGCTGTGACTTTAAGATGTATATTCGAAGGCAAGCCGATACCACATATTACATGGTGGCATAACAATGCAAMGCTCAATGCAATTGARAGTGAAAAGTACATTSTTCGTCAGGTTTCATCGTCAGTAAGCAGTAGCGAGATGTCTTTGACAATAAATAGCTTGGTGAGAGGTGACGAGGGGACYTTCCGTTGTAAAGCTGAGAATAGTCTGGGYACTGAKTATTCTGAGCCAGCATTCTTGAATGTTTATCGCCGTAAGTACACTTWACTAGTATYATAAGTTGTTRYCTGCTTTTARAGGACGACCCAGTCCCTTAATTACATATGAWACTCTGATGGCTACAAGAACATTTTAATGCTTGCAGCATAGAAAAAAAATGACTGTTACTATCTGAGTATCATTGTATAGACAAMGGCATATGGCGAGAATTTCTAATTCAATTAGTTGTCTAATTACGGTTGCTCTTCTAGTTTTCAGTAACATTAAAGTTTCTTTTCCATCTTAGGTTCGGATAMGCCAAGAATTCTATCTTTTTCTGGCGATCAAACAARAATTGAAAATGAGAGTGTRGAGTGGCARTGYAAGTTCAYCGGAGATCCGCGGCCCTCAGTKAAATGGAGAAGAAATGGAGAAGTCCTGTCCAATGGTGGTAGAATTAGAATCGACCGAACTTATTCTTTGGAGTCTTTCTCCTCTACTTTRAGCATCACTAATCTTAACAGGAACGATGAAGGGTTTTATAATTGTACAGTTAGCAATGCCGTTGGTAGCGCGTCTTCACCCCCCAGTGCTTTAACTGTCAATTGTAAGTTGTTCCTATATGTATCCATTATTCTGTACTTTCTTGTTATGGATCATCCGAATGCTTTCACCATATCAAGAACAATTGCCTGACATTCGCGCGGGCTACCTGTATTGTGGGATTCCTTATTTTCAAGGATGGGAGGGGACTAGAACAAAATTATAATGGCCGACATGTTGAAAAGCAATTTTTTCTGCAAATTCTGTAAGTTTTAGCCATTTTAAAGCACTAAAATGTGGAAAAAACTTGAAAAAAACTTTCTAACGTACTTCCTTATAAGGTAAGATTACCATATATGGTCAGCAAAAGTTTGGCAAACGAATGAATTTTTCTCTGATCCTGAGTCCTTTGAACTGATCCAGCATAGACCGTATACTGAATTTCTCAGCTACTTAACAGTAGGCCTTCATCCGCTCTATCACGGAGGTCATTATCTTTACTCGAACATTTCTATCT